ATTCGCTGCGTCATTTTGTAGAACAAATTTGGAAGGGACATCAAATTACACAAGTGAATTCTTTTTAGAATTTAAATATCATTCTGAAAAATTACCGATGATATCTCTCTCTAGTTACAAATCTTAATACCGATATAAGCGACAGGTTTCAAACAAGGCAATGAAAATAAATGAAGTGCTTCTGACTATTTTGCATATCTCCAGCTGATCCTCTGTACCAAACGCTGCATTCAATTCTTCACGTTTTGCGACTAATCCCTTTGAAACGTTTGTAAAAACGGTTGGTGTTTGGAGCACTTCATCAATATCCTTTTCACTGAAAATTGCAATGTTTTTATCTCGCTCTAGAAGACTTTCGACTAAGATTCAGCTGGAAAGACGAATAAATTCTGATCAAATGCGACAAATGGTGATCCATCCGAATAGATAATTCGCAATCATAATTGCGTCATGAAGCCAGAAAATAATGAGATAGTTCAAGCATAGACTTGTACAATTGAGATGGTTTAAATCTTGCATTAGAAAATCAAGAATGGAACTATTGATATAGCAATGAAAGGTTCACGCTAAACTAACTCACACTCGATTGCGCCAATTAACAACCTTGTTCTTGTAACATGCTATTTCAAATCGTTTGCCACATTTCTTCATACGCACCACAGCGACATTCGTCAATAATTTCACATTAGTCGGAGTTTTGATACGACTAGCCATTGCGGGGGTCGATAGCACTGAAATATATAAGTAATGAGCGAAAATAAAGCACGAGAATAAAGCAAAACGCATCAATGAACCCTTAAAAAGGCATTGAAAATCTAACGCTGTAGTAAAGCAAATGCCTTAATGAAACCATCAGACGACAACTGAGGATATAATTTATCACAGTAAGTCAAACAGATATGATAAAGCAAGAATTGATGCGATAAAGTAAGAAATCAGAAATATTAAAATCAGAGAAAGTCTACGAATAAACATGTGGGAAAACAGTACTGCTTTGCAGTATTTATCAACACTTTTGAATCTCGTATGTTCATAGAATCCAGCTAAGGAAGATAAACTCGGAGGAACATAAGCTCGGAACATTCAGCACAAATCAACCAATACACAAAATTACCCCAAACGCATTTTAAATGCTTATCGTTAATTCGATGTTACGAAGCACACGTGATCGACGACATATTAGCACATAATTGCGCTGTGTTGTGCAACAGCGAAAAGCGCGAAATTCAACTCACAACCTGGTGTGCTCTTCCAAAACGCACAAAATACATCAGATTATGCACGAATTTATGTAAGTACCGTACCTCAGAAAGGCTGTAATGGAACAAGGAATACATACTTACAGGCCTGCGGTCAGACTCATTGGGAAAGGGATGGAAAAAGCCCATAGGTGCACGCAATTCCTTTCAAAATTTGACGATTTCTTTCGCTATCGAATAGAAGAGAAAAAGCCATACGCTAGTTTCCTAGTTAATATACCTAGTTAAAAAGTCATTTTCTACAACAATCACCTTAAAATGAAAGCATTCAATGTGTTGCGCATGATTTTGCATTCTTGCGCAGTCGTACAGAATCGTTCAATTTGCAGTAAGAATATGAATCAATTGAGTCAAAAGTATCCAAAAAATGAAACTTCCACCAAGATGATATAAATTCTTCGGGGGCTACTAAGTGTCGCGAAACAGATTTATGAGATCCGAATATTGTTCACTGAGGGAGAACATCAAATGAAGACTCTGTTGTGAATCGTCAGTGAGGTATCTGGAACGTTTCGCTAAATGCGACTCTGAATTTGATTGATCATGAATTAGAGAAACAGGTCCATAAATGAGAAGGGAAGTTGACGTCTTCAAATTCATGCGGGCTTAATTCGCATTCTGATAGCGTTTTGAAGAAAGAGAACTGTACTAATCAAGCGTTGAAAAATTGCTGGATTTCTGATATTCTTTGCAAATTTTCGCTCCTTAAACGAAATCTCAAATCTCAAAAATGGAGTGAGTGGTTTTACAGCAGTTCAGCTAGCTGGCTACCCTATTCTTGAGCGAACGAAGAAGTGTGTCATAGGTTTTGCAAAATTTTTGCAGCTTGATTAAAATCGTTAGAAAGTCTTGCATAGCCATGAATTGCTAGTTAAAAAGATTTTGAAGATGAAAGCTTACGACGAGTTGCATGAGAATCATGAATATGAACGGTATAACAAACAAGCTGTTCAATGAGCGTCTAATTTCCTAGCAGCACAAGAACAGAGCCGGGAATATTGTTTAACAAACTGATATGTTCAGAAAATATTAATCGTAAGCTGAAGGAAATCGAAAAATGTTCGGCCCCGTAGTCAAGACTGTCACCTCCGGTGAGCACGAGGGATTACCATTGCGGAATCACAGAGGTTTTGGGCTTTTTCAAATGGATGAAGAAGATGATGATGATGAATCTAAAGAGTTTGGTGAATTTAGAATTCTATTTAATTTCTTGTTGAGGCCGGAGATCAGCTCTTGCATTGCTTGAAGTTGATGAAAATGCGATTTATCTACATTCAAGGATACAGAATGAATTTATCGGAATGTGTAGGGAAATTTTTTAGTCGAGTTAAAATTCCTCAACGTTCAATATTTTTGCTGATGATAATGCAGAGTTCTCAAGAATTGAACAGTTCTCAATATGTGATATATGTGGATAAAATCGATGGCTTGATTGATATCCGCGAGGACTTCTTGAGGTTCATATCTGTGGTTGAGATTTGTGGTGGACATTTGACTCACTCAAATACCCATTCAATCTCTTTTAGATGTCAGCCTTGATGTGAACGACTTTCCCGGTTTGGGATTACATGAAACTGGCAATATGAGTGGAAATTTGAAGCAGCATTGTGCGTGTCATTCATTGAATTTAGTTCATTTGTGCATGCAATGTTCGAGAGACATGAAACTGATTGGGAACGTCATCAGCAGCCTTGAATTTGCTCAGAAGCTCATTGAAGCGATAAGCTGTTTCAAGAAGTAATATTGAAAAAATCAAAAAAGGAACTGGTTGATGAAATGTTGCGTGAGAAGATAGGTTGAGACATTTGTATCGAGT